CTCAACTTTGCCTGTCTTTAAAAATATTTTGCAGGAAAAACACGTACTCTCCGCATAATATGACATAAAATGTAAATTTCATTTGGGTCTGGACACATTGATGTGATTTGCAGGTTTCCCCAGCCAGGTGTGCACCGGGGAGAAAGAATACTGATGTGTATGCCTGCAGTCACTTTTTTGCCATGGGAACGAGAACATTATGAGGAAAGCACTTTAATGAGAAGCGGCAGATGCCTCGTGGAGATCAAATGTTACTGTTACATTTTATTAGATTGGGTAATGAATCAAAAAAGTACTGTTTCAATTACAAAAACTGTCAAACGGTATCATACTTTGCATCACCTAAAAAACTATGTTTTTGAGACCGGCGAGTTAAGAAATGAAATTAATGTTAACATTAGAGATGTGAGATTGGAGGGTGATTTACTAAAATCACACTGAGTTGTATTATTCGTGATTGATATACAATTTGAATTTAAAAAAAAAAATGGGTCTTTACTAGAGGCAAATTGTATATCATTGTGAATTTCTTGCGCAAAATAGGTCATCACAATGCAGAATACAGATAAAGGCAATTACTATCTCTGTCTTTAAAACAAAAATGGCGTGAAATTGCCTTGAAATGACCTTTACATCCTCTTGATGCTGTTTGGCAGGAACAATTGCTCCTTCACACTTGAGAAAGTGAAGAATTAACTAATCAGTAGACTTGGGCATGGCAAGAAAATTTGGTTTTAAAGAATCATTTTTTCCGGAAATAAATTTTTTTTCAGGACACCCGGATTTTAGCTAAATATTGGTTAGGCTCATGGGCCAGTCAGTGTACTGCAAAATATAAATCACAGATCAAGTGAGAATAGGTCACCAACAGAGGGAGAAACAGTATGAGCAGTAAATACAATCTAATTTATATCATATATTTATATATTAGATATTAAATATTGATACATTTCTTTACTGCTCCTCTTAGTGTTCCCTATATGACTTCTCACACGATCTGTGAATAAAATCAACATTTAGTGACTGTCCCCTAGCCATTAATCATCTTGTTTCCTTTAATTCTTTTCAGTTTTTTGATGACACAAGCAGTACCTGTCCCAAATTAACATATATGCCAGTGCAGATTAAAGGGACACTATAGTTGCCAAAATAACATTAGCTTAATGAAGCAGTTTTGGTGTATAGACCATGCCTCTGAAGTCTCACTGCTCCATCTTCTGCCATTTAGAGGTTAAATCACTTTTGTCTCTGTCCATGTAGCCCAACCTCACCTCCCCTGACTGTTACTCAAACAGTCTGCATTAAAAAAAGGTTTAATTTCCAATCAGTTGTTAACTTACTTTAGAAGTTTTTTGTTTTGTTTTTTTCAAATCTCCTGCTCTGTAAGCTGAACTTTCATCACACACAGGCAGCTCCTGTAAGGTCTAGAATGCTATGCAGTGGATATACACATTTTAAATTTAATAGACTGTGCAATATAGGTAGTACAAACATTAGATCTCACTTTACAGGAAGTGTTTATGAAGGCAGTGTAAGTCACATGCAGAGAGGTGTGACTAGGGCTGCATAAACAAAGTGATTTAACTCCTAAATGACAGAGAATTGAGCAGTAAGACTATACACCAACACTGCTCCATTAAGCTGAAGTTGTTTTGGTGACGTTAGTGTCTCTTCAAAGGAACTCTCACCTTAATGACTTTATCTTTTAAAATGCTGGTGTGGGTTGCTGTTGGCAAAGTGCCATGCAGCACAGTCTATCCAGGGCCGAGTTTACATCACAGCAGTCAGAAAAAAATACCTTGATTTGCACTTGGTATTTACTATACCAGCACCCGCCAGCCAGCCTCAAATACTTTATGAGGGCTTTATGTATAAGTCAAAAGAGAAAGTCTTAAACATAAAGCCCTCAAACTGTGCCCAGGTACTCTTCAGGGAAAACTAGATATTGTTTCATTAATCCATTGTATTGCATCAAAAATCAATCAGTGTTTCAGACGTACCTTGTGTCTGTACCAAGATCAGGAGAATGGCATTGTCCAAAGCACTATGAATAATTAGCCATATCCTCTTTCATTTCAGGATTTAATTTTTTAGGATATCCCTCTGACGGTAGTTGCAATGTAATTAAAATTGTAAGTATATTTCTTATTTCCTGAAGTACTTACTCATATATATATATATGTATATGATCTACATTGCAACTACCGTCAGAGGGATATCCTACAAGTGGGGAGTTTAAATACCACTGCACGCTGTTTTACCTGGAGCTGGTCATAGCTCTTACAAATGTGAGTTGGCACTTTTTTACCTCAGTGTTGTCTGCAGCCATTTTGTTTACAACATTGCACTATTGGTCCCCTCTGTTTCTGCTCTTTTTTTATATGCTGCTGACGCTTTGAGCTACAGCTAAGACGTCACTTGAACACTTAAAGACATTTATGACTGAATACACGCAGACTGCAGTGAGGGGTGTGTCATAGGGCCGTGGACTGTGCCATGTATGTGTATTCCCTGTGGCTCCTGCTCAGGAGTGGGTCGGTGGCCCTTTGCTCTGCTGGGTTCAGTGTTAGACTAGCTAGATTGATTTGCTGCTTCTCGCTCTTTTGGGGTCTTCCTCTCCATAGTCTGTAGTGTAACAGTAATAGCCACCATTTTGCCACCATTTTGAGGCTCTCAGGTTATCTAGCGTCGTGTATTCTGCTCAGTTTCAGTAAGAGCCCCCAGACTGTTGTAGATTGATGGCTGTTGCTGACGGGACCGGGATATCCCACCCCCCGGCCCAGAGAGGGGGGGAAATGAGGCCAGGTTTCCCTGCCTCGTCCGAAGGTCTACCTTAGCTTGTGCTAAATGGTTCAATCAGGACCAAGAGGAAGTTGTCCCCCTGCTACAGAAAGGCTGGGGGTCTCTGTGGGTGGCGATTGACTTTCATTTAGGTGAGTTTCCTGGTATTTTATTGACGAGCCCCAATAGCATGCATCCCGCTCCATTGGCCGCCCGGTCCCGCCCCCCCATGTAATAGTTTTTATAAATGGAACATACTAAAAACTTTACACAAAACCTACGTCCTCCAAACTGCATCTGCAACGCTATTGCTGAGCGAGGGGTAGGATAAAGTTTAAAAAAAACAAAGAAAAGAGATAAATCAATCTGTTGAATACCTTGTACAGTAGTTTGTGAAAGAAAATTATCAGCTTGCTGTCATACTTCTAAATATACAATACAACATTTTTGTTTCAAGGTTTTTAAGCAATAAAGCAGTTGATTACCAAGAAAAGTTCCCTTGATGTACAATTTGTGCAGAGCTACGTGACTCCCTCTATAAATGGTACAGGAAATAGGCATTTTAATTGACAGGATGAAGAGACCCCGGACTGACCTTCTGGTTTATATAACTTACTGACTTCCCAAAATGAGACAGATCAGACAGTACAGGCTTCCTTTATTCACTGACCCAGAAAGAAATATTTTAACAATCTTTCAGATGCCTGTCTCCTTTATTCTATCAATAAGCCTCCTGCTACTCTTGTATCTGCTAAAATGAACTCAACTGGTCGACTTTTTTTACTTCTACCCATATTTCATTTTATTATTACATATTTTGTTTGACTTATTTCTGCTACTCATAATTAATTTTAAATATCTCATTTATTAAGATGAATAATTAGTTCATTATGATGGATACACATGTTCTCGAGTACATTCAGACTTACCACTCGTGAATGCATGCCGTGTTAGCTTTCTGATAGTGGAAGAAAAAATTACAAGCAAGCAAATTACATATGTAGAATTATAAAAAAAATGCAATTCAAGGTGAAATTCTGATTCCATTGGGAATACTCCACAATTTCCAGTTTAGGTAACAAACCCCAACAGGATAAATTTAAAGGACCACTATAGGCAGCCAGACCACTTCAGCTTAATGAAGTGGTCTGGGTGCCAGGTCCACCTAGGATTAACCCTTTCTGCTGTAAACATAGCAGTTTCAGAGAAATTGCTATGTTTACTTTAGGGTTAATCCAGCCTCTAGTGGCTGTCTCATTGACAGCCGCTAGAGGCGCTTCCGCACTTCTCACTGTGATTTTCACAGTGAGAAGACACCAGCATCCATAACAAAGCATTGAGAATGCCTTCCTATGAGATTGGCTGAATGAACGCGTGGCTCTTGCCGAGCATGCGCATTCAGCCGATGACGGGGAAAGGAGGAGGAGAGTCTCCAGCACCGAGGGAGCCCGGCGCTGGAGAAAGGTAAGTGTTTAACCCCTTCCTCTCCATCCAGCCCAGCGGGAGTGGGACCCTGAGGATGGGGGCACCCTCAGGGCACTTTAGTGCCAAGAAAACGAGTATGGTTTCCTGGCACTATAGTGGTCCTTTAATGTATTAAAAATGCATTTACTGAGCTAATTAGAATGTATCGTAACCTTCAAGCTTTGGCCATGTAATGATTGTCATGTCTTCACGTTATACATATATCTATATATCTTGTTACTGAATTTTAGTTTTGAACAATGTTTGCTTTTTTTTATTCTTTACTTTTGTTGTGCTTAGGTAAACATTCAAGCTTGTGATTACATATCAAATGGTAATAAATACTGTAGGAACAATCGCACAAGTGTTACTTGACATGTCAAAGGACTTGCACGTTTTATGGTTTATGGCATCAGAAGTAGAACAATCATGTCTGAATACTATGATAGGTAAAAGCATAGAAAAATATGGCTTAGGACAGACATGGGCATTGCAGGCTTTATAATAGTTTGTGAGAAACATGAGTAATACAATAAAAAATATAACATGATAATTCCCACAGGACACCCCCACGGAGACAGTAAAAGGGTTTGAGAAAAGATTGGCATGACTACTAGAGTTAGGCTAATCAATTAAGAACTGCAAACAGAAAAGCACCTATGTAGGCAGCTAGAGCTGGTGAGGACGTAACGGCTCAGCTCAGTCCAAAAGCCCCTTTCATCCAAAACCCTGCAAAGGTAGAGCACAGTCCTGCTTCAAGGAGGCATACTCAGACTTGTGTTGCGGTCTTGCTTTGGGCCGGGTAGGGTATCCCGCCATGATGGAGTGCGCTGCTTGTTCCGCAACCATGACGGAGCTTTTAAAAATGACCGGCCACGCTTCCTCTCCTTTCTCCTGGGATCAAGGCCCTGCAGCAGGCCAGCAGGACCAGTCGCAGGCCAGGGGGTGCCCTTGTGGTGAAGCTCTTGTCCTTGATATGAGGCCCGGTCTTGGACAGGAACCAGTGTGTTGCGTTGGATTTTCCCCTGCAGACTCAGGGGTAAGTGGGCTCGCTGCTGGGCATTAGATTGCAGAGGTTGGTGGAGCCAAAGCCAAAATACTGCAAAGATTCTGTCAATGAGGGCTATGAAGTCGGCTTGCTCCCCATCTGGAATAGTGGATCTTGTGGCATCCGACATTTTTTAGACAGGGCCCGCAGGCAGTGGTGAGTCAGTAGGGCACTGGATGGACCAGGATAACCCCAGCCGGTCCAGTGGGGGGTAACGGGGTACTTATGGGACACCACAGAGGCTCTGGATACTCCAGGTTGAGAGATAGTCCACCTCTCCTGCTCTACTTGTACACCAGGTCACATTGTGTCACGTCAAGTATGCCGGTAATCGTAAACTGGACAGCTTTTAGTTGAGTCCAGGTACACTGCTCTGGTTTGGGAGCACGAGAGGCACTGCTGGAGTCGTGCAGGGTGCAATAATGGGCTATCCACCATTGAGGTCCGGCCCCCGAACAATGTTTGCTTTTTATTGGCAATTGTACGTAAATATAATGTATTTTATTTAGGCATTATTGGTAGATTTGTGCATTGAGAAAAAATATATATTTCAGCCAAACCACTTCACCCAACAAGAAAAATATATTTGGGATAGCTGAATTCCGTCCATAAGGCGGTTTGGCTCATCCGAATTTTATTACTAAAAAAAGGTTTGAAAAAATGACAAATGAAAAGGGTATGAAAATGAGCCAATCAGCGCACTGCAAAATATGCCAGTTGGTTAACAGACCAAGTGATAAAAAGCCAGAAGAGGAAAAAAGAAGAGGAGCAGTAAGAAAAAAATCGATACATATTTAAAAAATATAAAAAATTTTTTTAACTGCTTCTCCTTTTCCGTCTCAAATAAAATCAACATTTAGTGGCTGTTCCCTAGCCATTGATCATATTTTTTTCCATTAATCATCTATTTTTTTGGTGCCTCAGTTGGAATTCTGAATTTCAAATCAAAGAGAACGTGCTTGTCCATTGTCCGGATCATTTGGTTTGTGATTCAGCAATATTTGGCCCAAATTCGGACACATTGCAGTTCATAAGGAAACAAATCTCTAAGTCTCATTATATGTTTGATTATTGTTAAAACCTTTCTGGCTGGTTCTATTATTATTCTGGTTTCCTAGACTTGATGTGTATTTCGGAGGTCTTGCCCTTGGTGTGCTTCTTCACAATTTCTTTTTTCACTTCCTAAACCTGGCCGGTGGCCACCTCATGCATACGGAGTGTTTTTTTACCTGTGTATATATATTTTTCCACCCTTGTCTTACGTACCTATACTTTGTGAGTTTTTGCCCAAACTATTCAAGATAACTAGAAGATACATTATTGCATCATCTTCTTCTTTGGATTTCACTTTAGAGTTAGAGTTTATGCGTGCTTTGCTACAGTGTAGGAATTTGGATGAATGAATCTTATTTTCTGTGAATAGTTGGTTAAGAAAACCAAATTCTGTCTTTAAAGTTAGATATTTAAAGACATTCAGAAGGCTGGCATGTTTACCCGATGTTGTTCCTTCTATTACATATTGAATGTGTTTCTGGTCATGAATTCATGGCCTTCTATGCAGGAAATATTTGCATTGCTGTAGACATGACATGTGCTAGACAGCCGCTTCCAAACCTCGGGGTGACCTCTTGTTTTTGAAAACGTGTATTTCAGATTCCTTATTCACCTCCCTAAACAAAGGCAGATGTACGTGCATGTGGATGTCCAGCGTCTTCAAATTCCCCATAGGAAAGCATTGATTAAATTTAGTGTAGAGAAAGCCTAATGCGCTGGTGGTGCTTGTCGTGCATGCGCATTAGGTTCCACCTCAGTGCTGACATCGGTGGAGCCAGAGACATTGCCAGCACCAAGGGACTTAATTGTTTTAAAGAGTTTTTAAACCTTTAACTGCCACAGGGGGCTGCGAGAGGAGAGGGCAGAGGGACACTATAGTGTTAGGAGCAAAGCATTGTATTCCTAACACTAATGTATACATTAAAGCTAAAAAAACACTTTCTAAGGGTTAAAAACAGGTGCCTTCTGGTGGTCAGACTCTATAGGCAGGGGCCTAATGATAAATCCATCCCTGTGTGCATGCCATCTTAGGGTGATAATGTTTTGAATTGCATAAATCATAGTATAATATAAAAAATAATATAATATAGTATAATATAAAAATCTTAATTACATTAGCAACATGAGACATGATGCCTAAAAACACATTACAATTATACAATTGTTAATAATGGCTGGTGTACGTGGACAGTTTATATATTTTTTGGAGGTTTTACCCACCCAATAGATAGAATCGGAAAGAGAGCCTAAAATCACAGATTATTATAAAGGTGAAGAGAACGATCAGAGTGCAATCCATGGGTCAGGTAACGAACAAGCAGTCAGTCCGAAGTCTGGAGTCACAGAATTGATCAAATCTGACATCAAAGTCTAATACAACTAACCAATTAATAAAACAGAGAACTAATTAGTGATTCCAGACAGAGACAATCTTTGAGGAGGACATCTTTAAACAAAGATTGCAGCAACGTTCACGTATACTTGATATTTTATGGAAATCTTGGCAGCACTGAGTGCAATATGCCTAGGTAAATGAATTACAGATGTAATGTTGAGGCAGCACAGTTGGAAGGGTTCTGTAAATGCTAATTGTATCATGCTTACTGCCACATTATATATAAATCAGTTTTATTCATATTCAGCTATGGAAGAATACTAGCTGTGCACCATGGAACGACTTCTTACAAGCTGAAGCAAGCTACTACCTTATTACTTATTTGTCTGCTGTATGTTATTTTGGGCAGTTCAATGCACATACTTTTTTTGCACCATTGACAATGAAGTCCTATGTAATTACCAGCCTTATTAAAGAGACACTACAGCCACCAAAACAACTTTAGTTTAACAAATCTGTTTTAGTGTATAGATCATGCCTCTGAAGTTTCACTGCTTAATTCTCTGCCATTTAAGAGTTGAATCACTTTTGTTTCTGTTTGTGCAGCCCTAGCCACACCTCCCCTGGCTGTGACTGACACAGCCTGCATAAAAAAAAATGTTTAAAAAAACGTTTCAATTAGATGTAACTTACTTTAAAAGTTTTTATCTACTGCTTTGTAAACTGAACTTTAATCACATACAGGAGGCTCCTGCGGGGTCTAGCAAGCTATTAACAGAGCAGGAGACAAGACATTCTTTATTAAACAGAATTTGCAAACATTGTGTAAATGTGAGAAATGTAAGGTGGCCAGCTGGCCAGCTCTTGGGTCCCCCATGGCTGGAGGCTAGCAAGGTATACCAGGGCGCTTGGGGGGATGGCGTTTTTTGCCCCCCCGCCCCCGCAAAGTGCCGCCCAAGGCAAATGACTTTTTAGCCTTGTGCTGAGGCTTACCCTCGCAACCCTGCCTGAGACATCTATGAATTAGGAAAATATCACACTAACATGGTTATTCACTAAAGTAAGAAATTTTTTGAATTTCAAATTTAGGGCCAAAATAGCCAAACTTGAAAAAAATTCTCTCCGTCAGCTATGCTTTTAAATCAACTATTTTGACCTTAAATTTTAAATTCACGTTGAATTTCTGGCAACTCTCACTTTAGTCAATAATCCCATAATTATCCCTAAACCCGGGAGCAGTGTTATAAATGTACTTTCATGTATCAAGCAATCTTTTTAAGTAGCACTACAAACTAATTAGTACTAATACTGGACATTGCGTGGGCTGTTTCTAAATGGCATTGGATTCCACTAAGCACTAACACCGTTTGGTATGTATTAACACTGTTATTCATTTCGTTTTAATACGCTAGGCACTGTGTTTTGATATGCCTCTCTTAACATTAATTACTAGGCTGTTATTGGCATAAATTAATGTCTGTATTTTATCTTTATTTTTTTTCCATCTAAGCTATATTTTCCTTTTAAAGCTATACAGCCTCTGAGGATCACATTATTTCAGAAAACATCAATTACTTACAAACTGCTTGATAAATTATAGAATGCCACTCTTAAACGCCATACTTAATCTCCTCCTCATGTTTTATCCATAATATATTTTAGCCATGACCGTACAGAGCTGCTGAACACATATTAGGTCGAGTGTAATAACGCAAAGTAATAGCATATTACTTACAAAGGATGTGTAATGAAAGAATGTTGATTTTGGTTCGTTCCAATAGTTTTATATTTTTGGTTCGGCAAAAATTTGTTTAGAAAAATCAGTTCAGCCATACTGATATTTGATAATCATTTTGGTTTAGAATCAGAAGTGATGAACTCCGCAAATCATAACGCTTTCCCATTGGAAAGTATTGGATTGACTGAGATTGGCAAATCTAATGATCTCAGCCAAGAAAGCGGGCCGGGGACAGAGCGAAACCCCACCCTGGCCAATCATTTTCTCATGATAAAGATGCATTGAATCAATGCATCTCTATGAGGAACGTTCAGTGTCACCATGCAGAGGGTGGAGACACTGAATGCCAGTCAGTCACACTGTGTAGCAATTCCTCAGGAAGCACCTCAAGCAGCCATCTGAGAAGTGGTCACTAGAGGTGTCCCTAAGCTGTAATGTAAACACTGTCTTTTCTTTGAAAAGACTGTGTTTACTGCAAAAAGGCTGCAGGGACTGACTATACTCACCTGCACAAATAAAATAAGCTGTAGTTATTCTGGTGACTATAGTGTTCCTTTAAACTATAATAAATGTATTTAGAAATCAGTGTAACTGAAATACATTGCTCTTGATCTAACTTATATTTTAGTTCTATAAATTGTTATTAGTAAGTCACCTAAAAAAAAGCCCTGGCCTTTTTTCCATTTAAAATGTTTGGGGCTGGAGGGGACATAGAAACAACTTTGACAACAATCTCAAGCAGGTTTCTATTATTCAGCCTCTATCACCTTTCAGTATTTTATATAAAATAAAAAAAAAGAAAAGTTATTTTAATGAAATACTAACGCTGACTGAGTTGAGATTTCATTGAAATTTTACTTTTAATAAATCTGAGCTTGACAAAAGTTGATGAAAGGTGGAGATTCACTATCAACCTTTGCCCAATCCAAGTAGCTATCTTGGATGATGTCTATGGGAATCATTAATGATCTCTCTTGTCTTGAGACATCATCTATGAAGACTC